TAGAAGAGGGCAGCCTGTAAAATGATACAATTTTCTGTAGTCACTGCACAAGACTTACAAACTTTATTCCTTTGCCACTAGAAGTAAATTTAGCCTGAGATTTTTGTTCCATGACAATTCTCATGGGCTCCAAACTCAGTGCTTACCACACTAGCAATAATCCTTTAAGTCTCCAGACTCTATCTGTGTTCCTTGTTAACCTTCAGTCAGAAAGTAATGAGATGCATCAGACATCATCAAGCTGGCCTAAGGGGTTACAAATTTGGATGAGGGCCACATACTGTACTAATTGCTTCTAATAAATTACGTATTTCAGGAGGGACATCATGATTTTAATCATTTATTCTGCATGTTATTTCCATTGGAGAGAAGAACAAGCAGGCACTAAACAAGCTGAGCATCTGAAATTCATGGCAGAAGCTAGAAGGAGCTCATTTAATATCAGCTCTCATTGTAAATACTAGAATTATGCATATATGAGGTCCCTGGGTCTGAACACTTTGGGAGCAGACAGGGACTCCTGATTGTTTTAATGAGTCAAACCAAAGTGATGTCTTTGAATGTTCCTTAGAATTATAACAACCCAGATTTAATCCCATTTCAAATGTCGTAGCTGGGGCCTAGCTCAAGAAAAAGTCTTTGTTTCTGTGCAAAGAAAAATGCATTAAGAGGAGAATTTAAAGGATTTATTTCCCAAAAGGCTGAGAGTGAAATGTACCTTTCACCTCTGTGGAGAAAGACTTTATGGTTTGATGACAGATAATTGCAAAGGTGGTCCACTGAACACAGAAAGCTGCAAGAACTTTTAAACCCGCTGAAATTAGTAGGGTCTGATGCTGATCTAGATAGCCTCCTGCAGGGTGAACTAGGATGAGTGAAGGTTTCTTATTTCCCTGACCTCTAGCACACCCACACCAGTAGACTCACTGTTAATGAAAACTTCAAACCACTCGGGAATGTGTACTTCCTTCACAGTGGGAGACCTTGATGGTATTTAAATAGCTGTTAGTATTAATAGCAATAGCTGGTAGATAATGTGGAGACTTGAGAGCTCTAGGGAGCAATGCAGGTTTGGGAACAGCTCAGGCTTTCTTCTCTTGGCCTTTGTAAACCTTGTTTCTAGTCACTTCAGTCTGCATTTCCTTTCAAGGACGAACTGAGATATCAAAAAAAAAAAACCAAAAAGTGACTACCTAGGTGAAAGGAAACCTGCCTCGATACAAAGTGTGCCTTGGGATGGAAAGTTGCAGTTGTAGCTTTGAGACTCAAATGTTCCCTTTTGATTTTCAGGTGGTAATGAGTCACAAAGCAAGCACCATTACGTGGGATAAGTGCCATCTACTTCTACCTTAACAGTCTAAGCTGCCTTCCACTTGTTCCCTCTCTACCTGGAGGGTTATCATCCCATTTTAGACTTCTCTGGCAAGTGTGAGGGGAAAAGAGTGAGATCCAGCAAGTCTTTCAGGGGCTTCTCTAATCCATCAATCAGAGTAACGAAAATACCTCTAAGTTGCTATTTGCAGTTGGGTGGGTGGATAGGTATTTGTGCTAAACTAGTTAGCTACACTGATACAGAGGAAAAGAACCTAAGGATTCTTCTTGGTTTTGTCATACAGAATGAGAAACAGATTAGTAAATAGGAGAAACAGGCTTTACACAATGAGAATTAACTGGAAAAGTTTGCCCTAGGTAAAACTGGTGACTCTTCAAACTGTGAAAACTTCCTCTGGTTGTTATTATGGTGTTTTTCATAGGCAGATTCAAGCCAATCTCCACACACTCAAAAGAAGAGCTTAAAATGGAAGTGACAGAGATTCAAAATCAGTGTTTTAGAGCATTGGAAGCTGTAAAAGGCTGAGACAACTTGAAGTTCATACATAAAAGCTCAAGTGTAACAGAAGAAAAAAGTGAAACAAACAGGGGAAATAGAGGTGATGAATCCTCAGTTATGAGTGCTACTATACCTAGCAAAAACACGTGACAAGTAGTAAATCACAACATAGTGAAAATTTGATGGGTTAATTTGGTTCAGTCTTCAGCTACTGACTTTAACCAACATTGCCTGCTAAGTAAGAGTACGGACTTAACACAGTGTAGCAGGTGTAGTACATGGTGTATCAGGGTTAGAAAAATAAATATTTGTGAAAGCAAAATGAAAAACCTCTCTGGCTTCCATTAGGTTTGTTAATACAGTACTAACAAGACCACTGTACTGAGCTGTTTTTGAGTTTGGTGTCTGATTTGCTATCCAGATTACCTCTCAAATCAATAGCTCTCACATTGATTTTTCCAGCACACTGTATTCCAGTAAAAACAATGTTCTGAGATGAATCAGCTATTTGCTCTGTCTGTAGGGACTCTGGTGCATTTTCATTTCGGAAAATAAAAGCAGGAGCCAAACTACACACAAATATATAGTAATAAGAACTGTCTGTTGCACCATAACATGACACTGGCTCTGCAGACATACAGTTTTACCACAGTTTGTGGCAGCAACTACAGACCCACCTTGAGACAGAGTAAGCCATTTTAAAGATGCGAACAAAATATTTGGGGGTAATGTTTGACCAATAATAATGTTGTCTTTCAGTTTAGGTGACTGCTATGGCAGAAGGGAAAAAAAATATGCCCACATTCAACTAAGAAGCTGATCCTCATCTATTTACCATGACATAGAACCTTGGCATAATTTTAATTTATTTCATATATTTTCATGTATTTGCATATTCCATGTAACATGTGCTATAGTCCTGGTACCGCAACCAGCCATCACTATTATCTGATATTGCTTTGGCTCCTTTTAACCATGTTAACAATTTCCTATTTTGTTTGTAATCACAACAAACATTTCCATCTACTCTTGCTCTCTCCCTCTTGCTTAGCCATGAATTCATGAAACCAGCAGCCTTTCTCTTCCACAGTTTTGTAATTATTTCAAGGAACTTGCAAGAAGCACAGCAAAAATATTTTCAGTTCAAAGAAGAAACGATAATCTCAAGAGCTACTTGGATATTTGAAGCAGGACTCTCCTCACAGCATCCCTTGACCACCTCTCTGCTCCAGGCAGATCAAAGATTTATTATCTCCTTCTTCGAATGTAAGGTACCAAATTACAGCTGATCCCACCTTCCACTGAAAACAGCCCCAGAGGTTATGCAGCAGCCAAAGAGGGTGTAAAGGGGAATATTTCAGCATCCAGGACCTCATTCTTCACTGTATATTAAATACCATATTGTGAACATACTGAGGGAGAAACAGCCTACAGGAAATGAATGGATACAGAAGCAGCAGCCTACAGGAAACGAACGGATGCAAAGTTGTGGGAATAGTGTGCAATTGTGAAGTTTGTTATTCCAAAAATACTGCTGAATATTGCTATCTTCAACTGCTATAAAAATAGAATAATTTAAATTGTTACCAAAACTCTGTATTTCTCAGGAACGCTTTCATAGCATTGCGTATTTCATATTGCTGCGTTTGCCTCCTAATGTCTTAATCTAAACAAAATAGCATTCATATTTTCACAACAAAGAGGAAGGAATAATGAATTTTCTACTTCAAGTAATTTTAAAATAAAAAGTTTAGTATTTATGACAGTCACAGCATGGTAAATCTGGAGCAATCCAGCTGGTTTACAGGAAGATTTATCAACTTCCTGGTGGCCAACTTTGTACCTGGGAATACTGTGCAGTTTAGAGTGACAAGGTATCAAGGAGAGGCCTTTTGTGCTTTACATTTTTTTTTTTACAAGATTCATGAGTTGTGATCTATGTTGAATCACATACTTTTCTACTGTCCCCTGGGATTTAAGTTGATGTAGAAGCAAACTATACCAGGTACTTTCCCAGGTCTCAGCAGGGTATTAAAGGTAACATTGAGTAAGCTGTAGTCCTTGGGAGGAAATATAAGGACTAGTTTTACAGAGCACTTAGTCTGCACAGTATTAGTTTGTGTTTGTACAGCAAAATGATACAGCAGTGAGATCAAGAGGTGTTAACACTACCCCTCGCAAAGCTTCTTCCTGCCACAAATTATTACAATGGACTCTAGTAAGATTATTCTAATATCCAATACTCGAACTTTAGCTTATTTTGACAAACTGATAGTAAATCTTGTGCAGCACCTGACATGTTTTTACTGTTGCTAAGAAAAGTACTAGTGAACTCAAGCTACAGAATGAGATAGGTAGAATGGGCTGATATGGTAAATTACCTACCTTTTTTGCCAGGTAATGAATTTTGTGTTAAGCAGAAGGAATGAAAATTGGGATATTCATGATCTATCAAGAGACACCTGCCAGTATAGCCTTTATTCTGCAATCTGGAAATAATCCTGCACTGATGAGTGTCAGTCAGGGAGGCTAGATCTTGCTTCACTGCAAGCACCATCAGGTCAAACAAGGCCTACAGGTAGTTGTTCTGGTCACAGCTAATATTCCTACTGCCTTTATGTTCATTCCTACAAAGCATGTAAGCTCTTTAAACATTTACCAAGACTCCTCATTTCTCTTTATCTTCACAAGAAAGGCTTCCACATCCTATGATCTGATACCTAGCACACAATTTTGGCTATTCTCCTTTTCACAGCTGCCTGGAAAGGGAGGCAGAATACGCAGGAGCAGTTAAAATAAGGAACAGAAATCTGCATGGGGTCAGCATGTATTCATGTTCTCTTCAAAGTTTGACATTGAATTACCTGTTACATCAAATAAATAGCAGCATCAAGACTTTGAAAAAAAAAAAAAAAGTCTTTTTTAGGGAAAAGAAAAAAAAAATGCCACTACCGCAAGATTCTGTAGTGAGGATAAATAGATGGTCAGTACCAGCAGATAGCCAGTGGCAGATAGTTACTTTGAGGTGTGAGAATATCCATTGCTGGAGCGCCCTACAGCAGGAAGCCTACAGGTGGGTGTCACTGAGGGGCACAGAGCCGCTGCTGGTGCCCCGGGGCAGAGCGAGGGGCATCCCCCTTCCGGGGCCAGGACAGTACCTGCACAGTACCTTTCAGGGCAGGTGGGGTGAAGACGCTCTGCTTCCTTTGCTTGGGAGAGGCACTCTGGGACTGCAGAGGGACAAACAGAGAGAGGCAGTGAGAGACAGCCATGGGGAGAGTCTTCTGGTCCTGGCAGCTCCAGGTCTGCCCAACAGCTGCTTTCAAAGGGTGCACAAGCAAGCCAGAGAAATTTCTAAGGCAACGATATTGTATAAAGCTGATGCCAGCTCCTGGGCTTTCAAGAATACTGGGAAAGCTAAGATTAGGTAGAAAAAGTATATGTTTAATGGACAAGCTTATGGCTCCCAGGCAAAACAGATCCAATACTACTGAAAATTATCCTTCATGCTAAATATATATCATTAAGCATAAATTAAGATAGCCTGTGGTTTTAACAGTATATGTAACTGATTCTCATACATATACAAATATTCACATACATTGAGTTGCAAGATATACATTAACCAATACCTCAATTAAATACAGTGTAATGAAAGATTACATGTGAAGTAGTATTGAAATTACTAATAAATATATTTTTACATAAATAAATGGAAGAGTCCTCCACCTGCACTTTTTAAAGGTCTTCTTTTACTCCTAAAAGAATAATTTCAACAACCAATCACTCAACTTTAACTTGGCCTGATATAAGTGGTATATTTAGACATAGTTACAGTTTTAATGGCTCCAAAATCACATCTATGTACAAAAGATAAGTTATTCCAAAATGATGGTAGTAAAATTACACAGAGAACAACAACAGTGTAAATATTCCAGTGTATAGTTAGCAAAAACTAACTGGGCTATGTTCCAGTGCTAAAGTAGGGTAAGTTTTGTTAAATAAAATAAAAGCAGTTAAATTGGTGTCCCTATTATTCAGACATTAACTATGTCTGTACAGAAAGGATAATAAACCTCCATAAGGTCACACACATAGCTAGCTTTTACAAACATAAGCACTGTATCACATTCCTAAGAAAAAAGTTTTTAAAAAGCTGTGTGTAGGCGAGCTTTATTTTTTCTCATCTAATTAATTTCTAGTTGTATTTGGTCATAACAATGTTGCCTTTTCTTAAACATTTGCTAAAACAAGCCTTTTTCCCTGAGTACTTTGACTGGCATATAGTCTGAATTTTAATCAGATCTCTTTCTTCAACGAACATTTCAGACAGCTCTTAAGAAAACCATTTTCACACAAGTATGGCCACTCTTAATACCTTATCTTATCGTGATGGATGGAATGATAACATTTATAAGTAAAATATTGTTTTCTTTTGAAAAAGAAAGTTATTTATAAACACTGTAGGATAGGTAGGTAGTTGATTCTCGTCTCAGTAAATCTTTGTAAGTCTGTATTTGAGTCCAAAATTGAAACAATCAATACCTCCTGCTGCTATTTAAAGTGCTGCCCTCTTCTCTGAGCAGTGGGTGAAGGAGAAAGAGATCAAGAAACTGCAGGAGCTATGCAAGGGGCAGTTACAAAACAAGATTGGAGGAGCTGACTTCTAAGTATTGTGCAAACAACATCAATGTGCAGCCTGCTGTGGGCTTGGCAAATGAAAGGAAGAAGAGAGGAGATTGCAATGCTTTTGTAGACCAACAGTGATTTGCAGACCCAGAGTAATGCTCAATGAGGTGACCTGGCAGAGTGAACTTGGGCCAGGTTTGCTATGATCTGCTGGGGCATGGCAGCAGGGCAGAGGGGAAATTTGCCTTTCCAGAGAAAGAAGAGCTGGAAGAGCTGAGACACAACCCAGCTTTACACAGCTCTGGTTTGCAAGCAAGAGTTCTTAAAAGGCTGTGTTACTGAATATGGCACAATAATGTAAACAAAGACACTAACCAGGATGAATCCATGAGTTTTAAAACAGTTTTAAAAATACACCCATTCTAAGAACAGATATGTTAAAGAAAAAAAAAAATTCACTTACCTCTGCCTGTGTGATGTTTGTTCTCTTCTCA